CTTTCCCCCCCCCCCCCCTCCCTCCTCCTCCCTTTCTTCTCCTTGAAATACTTTGAAGTTGAGATGCTCGATATTGAAAAGGATATTTAAATATTTTATTATAAAAATCAAAGAATTTGCCATTACATGCGATATGCTTATGGTATGACTAGGAAAAATTTCAAACAGCCTTGCCTATGAGCCAATAATATATATGAGGCAAGATAGTAGAAAAAAAAATTTGAAATTTGACCCAGCTATAATGCATCAAAAGGAGCAACTTTGCAACTTTGATAACAATAGCAATGCGTTATCATTCTAATCAGTAAAGCTAACCTAACTGAAAATAATAAAATTACATGATTAAGATAATGCGCGAATAAAAATTTCTATTTTAGCAAAATAAATATTATTGAAAAAACCTTAAAAAATAAAAATAGATTTAAAGAGAAGGCACTTGCAAAATAAGAAATTATTATATAAAGTTAATTTGGTAATAATAAGGATTGCTTTCCATCATTATTCGCCGCTATAATTATTATTGCGAAAAAATTTTCCTCGCAAAAGAATCGAAAATAGAATCGAAAATTTACTTTAATATTTTAATATTAATCATTTTTAGTTTAATATTTTTTCAAAATTTTTTTATAATATTTGTAAGATTTTGTAAAATTTGATGGAAGATCTATATGATTTTTACAGTATTTTTCAAATTTATTATTTTTCAGTTTCATTTCGCTTAAATTTTTATTTGAATAACAATAAAAAATATGAAGAAACGAAAATGAAATCTTTTGATTTGCAAATCTTTTTCAAATTTCATTAATTTGCAAAACAAATTTTATAAAATCTTGCAAATATTACAGAAATTTTAAATATTAAAATTTATGAAATTTGAAAAAAATTGAAATTATTAAAATTATTTAATATTTATCATCAAAATTATTTAATATTTAATATTTAAAATTTTTGTAATATTTGCAAGATTTGTTAAAGATTTGAAATTTGCAAATTTGCAAATTTTAATATTTTAAAGTTTTAAATATTTTGATTTGCAAACTTATAAAAAATATATTTAGTTGTTTTTTTTTCGATTCAAATAATGACGAATAAAGTTTTAATAATTAAGTTTTTTCTATGGTAAATTTAATAAGTTAAAATCTGATTTTTGATGATAAAAGATAATTGACAAATGGGATCAGAGGAGTGGAATTGCTTAAAGGCATCGATATGTTCCTTAGTTGATAAATATCGTCTATTCAAACGTGCATGAGATGCATCAGTCACTCATTAACGATAGGTTTCTTGGGCTTATGTAGTGATGTAGCCGCTTCTTCCTCCTAAAAACCATATAGATGGATTATCTCCAAGACAATCTATTTGGAGCTTTCAAGACTATCAGAGGTAAAAGTGCACATATGGATTTTATAATTCAATCTGTCCATCTTGTTGTAAATCGTTTTTCTTTCTTTCCATCTACCATTCCCTGATCTTTGCCAGAAAGCTTTGCATGTCCAGAATAGGATAATTTGGTAATCTGGTTATTCGTGCCTCAAGTAAAAACTCCAGCCTGAATTGTCCGATGATTCAAACAGTTTATTTTCCTGGCTAATTTTTTTTTTTTAAAGAGTCCTCACCATAATTGCTTAAACTCGCTCCACTAGCTTGTCGCATTGAGCAATATGCCAGGAAATCCCTTGGCGATAGAAATACAGGTGAGTCGTCAGCATCACTCGGATTTTTATATAGATTTACTCTTGCTAGGACTCAAACCTCAAGATCGGCGCTCCCAATCGAGTAACAACCCACTGGGCCATTTTATTCCCTAATTTCAGTCTAAATTGTTCGATGATTCAAGCAGTTTGTTTTCTTGGCTGATAACAGTTCTTAACCGTTAATTTCCATAAATCATTATGCAAAATAGAAAAATAAAATGAATAAATTTAAATGAGATGAAATATTGTTACATTCTTCATTTCCCCATACAATGAATAAAATAATTCTATCCCACTTAAATTACTAAATAAATGAGGAAAATTTATTGGTGATTAGCCATTCTAAAGAATTAAAATGACAGCAAGAAAGGTTGATTCTGTCTTTTATTCGAGTAAACCTATCATTAAAGCAATAAACCTATCATTAATCTATCATTATTATTCGAACGGTAAACGCCGTTTTGAACGCTGTTCGGCGAACCAACGAAACCAGAAATGATTTTATGCCATTAAACGAGAAATAATTTTTTATAAAAATTTTAAAATTTATAAGAAAAATTATTCTAAAATTTAATTAGACGATTCGATTTTTGATAATTGCTTTTTCTGACTAAAGAATATTTATTATTTGAATAATAATAAAAAATTCTAAATTATGAATAAATTGTTTTATGTCGATCAAATTCAAAATGATTTTAAATCGGTAAATAAATAAATAAATGAAATGGCATTGTTAAATTAAATTATAAATAAATGAAATATTTGTATGTGCAACAACGTACGAAATATTACAATGAATGATTTATAATAAGAAACCTGAAATTTTTATTAAAAATTAACAATTATTTTTACTAATAAATTTTTTAAAATTTATTAAAAATATGAAAATTTTTTACAATAAAAAGGCAATGAGGGAAACAATATGGAATAATTTTTATTCAAAATATTTTTTCAATCTCTTCAAAAATTGCTATCGAGAGAATGGCAAAATAGCTCAGCTGATTACTACTATCATTTCGCGATATTACATATTACAATCACCCTTTCTATTCAAAAATATAGCGTATACCATATAAATTCGAAAGGAACCAATCCCCCTAATCTCATTATTAGTGATGGCACAATTAGAACGAGTCCCGAATATCTCAGACCTTATCATAGTCGTGGATGTAA